CTTTATTGTTATTACAAAAGATTCCACAATATTAGATGATCAATGATTTTTATCTAGCAACTGTTTGGTAATTTTGGGTTTTTGATTTATTTTAATTAAAGATTTTAGTTTTATGATTAAGACCCCTGATTATATCAGATTGAACTAGAGTTCATGAAGAAAGTATCTCCCAGCACCCATTTCTCATATTTTAGCAATAATTAATATTCCACTTGACTTTCAGATTATTGTCCTAGTTGATTTTGATTTGACAGCATATATTATGAAATCTGACAGTAACCTGCCACTTGAGACAACAGGATATAAATTATGTAAATATGTATGATTCTGAATTTTATAAATGGCATAATATAAGTGTACTAGCTACATTCTATGCTGGCCATACTGCAGATTTCCTGGAGATATGATGTAATGGTATTTTTTTATGCTCAGATTAAAAATCATCTTCTCATCTCTCCATGTCTTCAGTATGATTATCCCCAGCTCCAGAACAATCTATAGCTATTATATGAGGTGCCCAACACTCTCATTTCAAGTGCTTCAGTCTTTGGTTTATTTCATGCACTGTGCCTTCAAAATGAAATTTTTAAAAGGGACTTTAATGAAGTTGAATAGTAGTTTCAAAAAGTCAATGTGTAATTTATGTGAAATCTAACTGTAATGAGGTCCTTTCTGTTTTTTATATGTAAACAGATCTACTAATCCTGTATAAAAGTTATTTTATGATGTTTGTCTTTCTTTGTGTTTTGTCTCATAACCTTTTTTCAAAAGCAATAGACCAGAGAAATTTTTTTGTTCCAATTGTAAGGTTATGTATTTCGTTTTCTACTTCTAGTAGAGGAAAAACTGCAGTAGACTAGGAAAACTAGTGTCATCTGTAGAGTGTTTTTGTCTTCATTAATTGACTCAAAAGCTGTTTCTGAAATAATCACATCACATAGGAGACAGTTCTCTTTTCTGTTTGTAGCTCAGCTGGATTGCTGTATGTCCATTCATTGCACAGTGAATACCACATAGCTAGTCATTGAAATGTTTATAAACCCATTTCACACTTGTTAAAAATTTTGTCCGTTTCCCAAAGAACCCAGTTTGAAGTGTTCTGGCACTTTTAGGCATAATGGTGGTGAATTCAGTATCTCCTTTTCACTTAGCAATAACTTGTTGATAATGCTGTTCTAATATGGATTGGGAAAGCAGAATTATGGAACATGGGCTCTGCTGGCATGAACTCGAGAGTCCAGACCAGAGAAATATAAATAGGAATAAGCTGTAATTCTGTAGTGACTGAATCCTCTACCAAAACAAACAAAAAAATATATTATTACCATGGAGATCCAGCATGGACTTTGGAGTTGGACTGTGACTGGTTCTTGACTCTGCCACTTGCTCCCTATGTAACCATAGGAATTCCTATGTAACTATGTACACATTTCTTAACAGTCCCTGAGTCTCAATTTCTCTATCAGTTATAGAGTAATATATGATGGGATCGTGGTGGGCAATAAATGACATCATGTTAGCGAAAGGCCCATTATAATAATTGAGTGAGTTGAATGCCTGTGCTAACCAGCATCATTTGCCTTCATTTTGTGTTTTCTGCTCCATTTGAAAATTACTGTATCAAAAATATAAACAGACTTGTTACAGGTGGTCCTTTTTAATTTAGAAGAAATTCCTAGACATAAATACTAAAAATTATAAAAGTTTCCATCATGTGGTTCCATAAATTTTGTATAGCATGGCAGTAAAGTTTTAAACTAAAGCACCCCCACCCCCGTCCTCTCCCTTGAGTGCATAGAAAGAAACTGCAAAATAGCTGAATTAAACTCAGCCTTCCCAGTAGTTTTTTTTGTGCCTGCCTTGGGGAGTCAACTGAGGCTGAGACATAACTGTAGCCTTTCCCACAGGGGACAAATAGGTCACAGATTTTGGAAAAACAGCACAAATGCAATTCTACCACCACTACCCCTGCCCCAAGCAACCTGTGCCAAAAGTGCTGATAACTACAATGAATTCAGTCTGCCCAGTGGGGTTTTTTTGTACCCATCTTGGGGAATCAATGGAAGCATAAGCTTGAAACTGGTGGGATTTCTGGGACCCATTTTGGTGGACAATAGGAGAATGCAGGTCTTCTGGATGTGTTGCTCATAGCCTGCACTACCTGGGGCAACTGGACAGGCTTGGAAAAGTCAGGGAAGTCACCCAACCTTCTCCACTTGGAGACCTCTGGGCCTAGAGGATGTAATTAGAAACTACAAATAACTACATTGAACACAGCAAGCTAACAATGGTCATCCTAGTTGCTGGTGGCCAGCGTGGGAGTCAGTAGAGGTACCCACCTCTTGGGCTTCCCCTGAAGTTCTTGCTACTGCTGAAGAGTACAGAATGTTCTGAAAAGAACCAACCATGAGGGAGGGGCCACTGCTGTGTAGAACCCTTACAGTTGTTGACTGGGGCATACACCACACTGGAGAAGAGATCTGGCACTGCAATGGATAAGGGGGTGGGGGGTGGCAAAGAGTTGGCACCTAAGGCAAAAGGCCATTTTAAAAAGCAAGAAAAATCCCAAATAAATACTACAACACCTAAGGAAGCATAAATAAGACTCAAAGTTAATGGAAGGTAACAATAAAAATTACAGTGAAAATAAGTAAACTCAAAAAACCACACAAAATAAAGACTATACAAAAATATCAGTAAAAGAATCAAAGAATTGGTTCTTTGAGAAAGTAAACAAAATAAAAAAAATTTCTAGTTAGTCTAACAAAGAAAAGAGGAAACATTAATAAACAGAAATGAAAGAGAAGTTACCACAGAAAAATATCACCAAATACCAATAAAAAATGAGAATCTTAGGGAAATGGAAAAATTTCTAAATCAACATAATCTAACTAATCCAGAAAGAAGTGGATGAGTTGAAAAAATTAATCTCAAACATGGAAATTGAAACAGCAATAAAAAAAATATTCCCGAAACCAAAAGCTCAGGACTCGACAGTTTTATAAATGAATTTTATCAAACCTTGAAAGAAAAACTAAGGTGTTGCTTGCTCAAATTGTTTTTAAAAATAGAAGAGGGGGCCCCCCCTGGTGGCACAACAGGTTAAGGCGCTGTCAGCAGCCTCCCCATTATGAATTCAATACCCAGCCCTGGAGTTGATCCAGGAGTTGATCCACATGGCGCAGCAGACCTCTCCTGATCAGCCTACTGCTCCCTTCAGCATTAGCCATCAGGGAGGGCCGACTAACATTCTTAATGAACATAAGGGCAAAAATCCTCAGCAAAATTAATTCAACACAAATAGCATGATCAAGCAGGATTTATCTCAGGGACACAAAGTTGGTTTAATATTTGTAAATCAATCAATAAAATAAATCATGTCAATAAAAAGTAAATGTCATAGTAATAGATGAAGAGAAAGTATTTGATAAGATTCAGCAGTTTTAGGACCCTTCCTGGTGGTGCCGCAGGTTAAAGCACAGCACTGGGAGGAAGACATCCCTGTCAGAGAAATCAAGGACAGAACAGCAGAAATTACCCAACAGAAAACTGACTGATGAATAACATTATCGGAACCTCAGAGGTATATGGAAGTAAAACCAATAAAAGACCATTCATGTCATCCATGTCCCAAAGAAGAGGAGAACGAGAATGGTGTGAGAAAAGTACTCTAAGAAATAATGGCTGAAATTTTCCCAAATTTGATAATAGACAATCTTCAAACGTAAGAAGCTGAGTAAATCCCAAGTAGAATAAAATCAAAGAAATCTACACTGACATCAAAATCAAGCTTCAGAAAACAAAAAGATTTGAAAGCAGTGAGAGAAAATATACCTTAATTATAGTGGAAAGCCACTATAAGTTTCTCACCAGAAACAGAAGTTTCCAGAAGGAATTAGCACATTTTTAAGCACTGAAAAAAAAAACCTAGCAATAATATCTTTCAGGTACAAATGGGGAACCAAGACCTTCTCAGATGAAGAAAAACTAATAGATTTTGTCTCTGGTTGATCAACTATTTTTAAAAATGGCCAAAGAAATCTTTGAATTAGAAAGAAAAAAGACAACAGGTATCTTGGAACATGAGGAAGGAAGAAAAAAAAAGGAAAGATTATAAATTATGGGTAAATACAATAGACTTTCCTTCTTTCAAATTCTGTAAATTATGTTGGACAGTCGAGGCACAAATCATAAAATGATATGATATGGTTCTCAATGGATGTGGATGAAATAATAAAATCAACTATAAACGGGAGAGGGTAGAAGGACTTTATATGAGGCAAGACTTTTACACTTCAGTAGAACTAGTGGTGCCGACACAAATAGATTGTGATAACTGGTGTATCTGTAAAAGTGGGCTTGGATAGTCGGTTTTAACAGGTTGAGGAGTGAAGATGAGAATATATGGAAGCAGTTAGTATACACTCTCTAGATTTAGGGTTGGAAAGGAAAGGGTTGGGACTGTCATTACCAAAGACAGTGGGGGGAAAGTGAACAGTGGAGAACACAGAAGCTAGAGAGAGTGGGCACATGGTACGCAGGCGAGGTAGAGGACAGGTGGATGTTGGGAGGAATAGAGTTCTCTGACTCTAAGAAGGGATAAACATACACATTGGAGAGAAGTCAGCGCCTTAAGAGTTGAGGTCACTGTTCGGCAGGTGAGTAGGAAAAGAAAAAGGAGAAAGTTGTCGGGTCCTTGGAGGATAGCCGAATTGCGTCTGAGGTTGACTTTCTTCTCAGGCAATTCGGCGCCTGCTAAGACGAGGGGTAGGCGGAGCTGAGGGTAACGAAACAGGAAAGCCTGAAATGATAAGACACTTCGGAAGTTTTAGGTGCTAAAAATGCGGTTTTCGAAGCAGCTACCATGAAAGTGGTAAAGCAACGCGCTAACCGCCAGGTGGCGGTGTTTGTGGAAGTCTACATATCCCATAGGTCCTGGCGCCAAGGCGGAAGAAGGCGCGGAGGTGACTCTCTGGCTCGCGCCACCTCTACTGTCCAACCCCGACTGACGTTGGACAACAAAGATGGCGGCAGGAACCAGCAATTACTGGGAAGGTGAGGACGGGGCCTCCGGGTGGGTCTAGCAGAGGGGCTGAGTGAGGACAGGTCTTGGTGGGTGACAGCAGTGGAAAGAGTTTGGCCCTGGTGCGGCCGAGTGGAGGGGCGGGGCCTGTCTAGTGGGAGCTTGGGGGCTGAGGAGACGGGATGGTCTGGGCCGGGGGGCTGACCCAGAGCAGCGGGACCTGGAGCAGGGATTGGGCAGAGAGGGTTGAACTGGGACGCTGAGTGAGAGGAGTCTGAGTTGCTGGAGGAGAACTCGGTTCATGTGGTAGCGAAACTCGGACGAAGAGGTTTGAAGTAGCTTTGAGAGGAAACGAGTGTTGACCGAAAAACTCCCGAACCCAGAAGACTGGAGAAGTCAGCGCCTTAAGAGCTGAGGTCACTGTTGGACAGTTGAGTAGGAAAAGGAAAAGGAGGAACTTGTCTGTCCGGTCCTTTGAGGAAAGTCGTGTGTGCAGAGTGTCTTTTGCCGGGTCCCCTTCGCAGCTTCAGACTTGTAGGATTGGGTATCGAGTCGCGTTTGAAAGTAGAGGAAATAACTTTTACTTTGTTCTCTGGAGATCCATTAATTCTTGAATATGTGACCTGTTACAAAGAGGGCTCACATAAACCATGATCAACAAACATTAGGAAAACTCACGTTTTTCTTTAAATTCTGTTTGCTTTACTGCTACATAGAAATTTCTTTCTGAGTCCCCTTTTCCTTTTAACCTATTTCCTATTGCTACCACTCTAGAAAACCACCACAAATAGCATTTAATCTAAGAAACTTAATTCCAAGTTCATCCATAATTGTCAGTCATATTTGCAAAATGCTTTCATTTGACGTTTTCTATTAGAGAAGACAGTAACTAGTTATAGAGAAGCATGCTTGTAGTTAAAACTTGTATTCAGGTGCCTATTTGAAATGTGTGTAGTAGTATTAAAAATTTGTTGGAGTGGTTTACTGATATCTTTAATGCTAGTCATTAGGCTATGCTTTTTTGAAGCACCGTGGAGTAATTATGGTAGCTTATAATTAACAACCGGCTCTCTGTTCCAGGTGCTTTGAACAGAATAGTTATGGCTTAAAACAAAAAACAAAAAACCTCCTAACTTAAGGTAGGGGTTTTAAATACAGAAAGCTGAGGTTCATAGGTTAAGTGGATTGCCAAGAAATCTTAGACTGAATTGAGAGTCTCTGGGCAAATATACTTTACTATATTACTTTGCTTACTGTTTCTGGTTGATGAGAAGTATATTGAAATAATGTTTTGTGTTCTTTATTCTGGGAAGATGAGATTCTTACACCATTCCTTCCTCTTTTATTTGGGCTTCACCTCGTGATGAGGTAGAGTACTCAAATCTAGATTTGGATTTCAAATTCACATTCAACCACTTGAATGCCAAACTATTATATCAGTTTTTCTGCTTGCATGTTTGTGTCAGTTATTTTAAGACTTGTATCTGTCTTATTTAATTTGACTTTATTAGTATAGGTTATCAAAAGAATTTTTTTAAATCTTTGTCAGTGACTATTTTTTCTTTACTGCAAGTCATTCTGCAAGTAAGAAAAAAGTTCATAAAGCTAGCTTATAAATTGATACAATATTGTTCATAAAACACTTCCTTTATGATTCATGCTCTTTTCACTTTTCCTCTGAATTAGGAAATATTAGTTATTGCTGTAGAAATAATTTTGGGGATATTAAGACATTCCCTGTCAAGCTGACTTTTCGGTAAAGCTGAAATTTTGCATCTTCCACTTCTCCCTTTCTTATCTTGAAGTTTAAATAAATGACAAAGTATTTTTGTGACAAGTCTTTGGTTCCCTGCTTTTAACACTTTTCTTTACAGGAACCAGATCAATATATGAGTATTTGCTTAGCTTTCTTCAGAATAACTGATTTTCATGTCTACTGATGGATTTTTGTATGTGTCTAATTGTTTCCTTTCATAATTTTGTTAAAGATCTCAGGAAACAAGCTCGACAACTAGAAAATGAACTTGACCTGAAACTAGTTTCCTTTAGTAAACTATGTACAAGTTACAGCCATAACAGTGCCCGAGATGGAAGACGCGACAGGTATAGGTACTACCAGATTCTATCTTTTATGTCTTAAAGTATATAGTGACTATAAGTTATTAAAATTAAACTAAAATATTTAACTCTGTAACTTGGTAATCTGGGGAATTTCTGGTGTTTCTTTGGTAAATGATTTTATTTTTTAGTGATTTGTAAAAATTCTCAGTACTTGAGACATAAATTCATAATACTTTGTCCTTAGGCAAAGATTATGACAGTGTTGAAAGGAAAAGCTGAGGCTTAAGAATGAGTATGTATCAGAAATAAGATTCTCTCCAGCCAGTTTAAGAAAATGTGGTTGATTTGCCCACATCATATTTCTTATACTTAGTTGATAAATAGATCTAATGAAGAGCATATATACTACTTTCTGGTGTTTTAGAAGGAATCTATTGAGGTGTGTATATCCTCACTATTAATCCAAGCTATTTTAATTTTGATTCTTTTTGGAAAATCTGTGTATTACTGTTCAAATATGTGAAAAATTAGTTCTTACCTCTGAATTTTGTGATCACTTTTTTCAAAAGTATTAGGAAGTATGTTAGAAAAGTATAAAGAATTACGTACCATCATGTGCCTGTTTCCTACACAAGAAATAAAAATTAAGAAATATTCTCCCTCCCCACCATCTCGATATATTTTTACATTTGTGTCCTTTACTAACAACTGGTAGTATCCTTCTATAGTTATTTTACAACTTCCTTTTTTGTTTGACATTATCTTTGAGATTGTACTCATTTGCTCCGTTTAGTATTACATTGTGTAACTTATCACTATTTTTTAGATGGATTTTGTTATTAATATTTGATAATTAACAGTCATTTCAATGGCTGACATGATGTTCATCATGTGTCAGATTCTGCTGTAAGAGCTTTAGAAAAAGACTTTGGGAACATCTTTATGGATAAAAATGTTTATGTATATCTAACAGTGATGTACTGATTTAGTCTCTATTTTACATGCCTTTTTTGAGAATGGGTGAATATTTTTTAAGTAACAAAAAAAAATAACAAAAACTAAGATTTAAATCCAGGTATTTCTATCTCCAGAGCCCTCACACTGTAGCCGAGGTTTTGATTCTGTTTTTAATAAGTGCACATTACCAAGTAATTAAAATTAAAGATAGCAGGACCATACATGTTGACTCTGAAACCTAAAAGTGTACTACTGGAATGTCACATAGTTTTGATTATAGTGCATTGCTTTGGGCTCACCTTTATTTAGTAGGTAAAGAGAAAGAGGAATGTTCTTTTCTATGAGTAAACTTATTTTATCTTTGGAAAGCATTTTTCTTGAATTATGATCTCCTGTTTGGTTATACCAATGAATACCAATTTTAAAACCCTTATTTGATTACAGGATTCTTTTTTAGTGTTCTCTGTTCTTTGTGAACTGTATGCTGTTGTTCCTCCTCTAAAGGAAACATCTTGAAGACAGTTTTTAAAGAAATTCAACAAATTGGGATTAACTTTGTAGAATTACTTCAGCCCAACTCCTTTGATTAGGAAGTTTAAGGCCACATGTAGTTTAAAGTGTTCTATTTATTGTATAGATTGAAAGTACATCATAATGATACATTCAGGAGTAACCAAAATTTTTCTTCCAGGACTAATGTTTTACTTTCTGTATTTTGAAAACTTTATGGTCTATGAATAACCACACATCTATAAATTGAATTAAATTTAAATGAGTCTTAGTGTTGTGGATGATGAAATTTTTACCATTTGCCTTGTCTCAGGAACTCCACTGAGAATAGTAAATGTAGAGATTACCTCATTATTCATCATTAATCTGGGTGGTATGCATGTGTGTGTGTGAATAGATATAGGCAGTTTTCTTCTTCATGGAGCCTATATTCATTGATCCATTGTTTTTGATTGTTTTCATATATCTTGTAGGGGAGGACTAGGCACCTTCTAAGAGATAACTATAATACCTTGGGTTAGCTCTGACACATAATAAGAAACTAGATGTTTTTGATATGTTTTAAGATGGGTAAGTTAAATGTTTTGAGAAGAAACAAAAATTTAGACCTAGTTAAGAATCTTAAAATAGGGGCCCTCACTGGTGGTGCAAGGGGTTAAAATGCAGCACTATAAAGCTATCTGCTGGTTGTGCTGGCTGTACAAGTTCATCCCTAACCAGAGAGCTGACCCACATGGCGCAGCAGACCTTTCCTGCCTCGCCCTTTGTTCCCCTCAGGAGAGTATTTCAGTCACTCTCCCTGTTCTGCTTGCCACTCTGTCTCTGGTGAATCCTTTCACACACACAGATCCCCACACCTCTGCTCTGTACCCTAGATGTTGTGTACATAAATAAATAAATCTTTTTTAAAAAATAGCTTTAAATAGCCTTCATAAAACTTACTGGCTATATCACAGCTTGTTACTACTGCTGTATATGAAGAGGGGAAATAATAGCTATTTAGAAGTTACTACTAGGTAAGGAAAGTAGTACTAGATACTTTTTGATGTTAAACCAACAACAAATTTGTTTTCATTCACCACATCTGAGTACTCTCACTGGCCATGACAAAGTCTTCAGTAAGATTGAAGAGCATAGTTATTGCCTGTGTTTTATGTATGTTAAGTCTAAGATCTCTATTGACATGCTATACATACCACTTGGAGACATAATGACTAGTGGTTTTTCAGAGGAGGCAAAGGAAACTTTCAGAATTTGAATCTGTCAAGCATGCTTCACCTGTAAAAAAATTAAGATAATTGACTGATCAGATTTTAAAAGCTATTTCAGCATATATTTGCAAAACAAAACAAACAATTCATAACGTAAGTGGAAATGTGGAGTTGATACTAAAACTGCCTGTTAGACATTGCTGTCTATATTAGACAATTCTGTTTCCTGATTTTTAAATTACTAGTTATCCTGCCTGTAGATCATTTAAATCTGACTTTTATTTCTTCTTGGTAAGAGACAAGGAAAGAAGAGAGCACTTAAGGCCTAAGGAACCATAATCATTTTGGGGTAAACATATGTGAATTCAAGTATATATCCAAATATATTTTATATTTTATGGCACCTCCTTTATACTGTAATACTTAGTTCTGCAGCTTCATTTCACATAATTTGTTCCCTTAGATTGAACATTTAATTGGGCACTGCCATTGCGTTTTTAGTTACTTTCATTTGGGAAATAGTAAGCAAACATTTATAATTTCTTTACATTATTAACATTGAAGGTATTAAAGTTTGGGGAAATTTTATATTTACATACATACATACATACATACATCCATACATACATCCACACATCCATCCATCCATCCATCCATCCATCCATCCATACATACATACATACATACATACATACATACTTTTTTTTTAAGATTTATTTATGCATACAAGAACTTGGATATAGGCCCATGCAGGGTTGGCAGGGTGTGAGGGAGGGGGTTTGTGAAAGGGTACGCCAGAGACAGAGTGGGGAGCAGAACAGGTGGACTAACTGAAATACACTGCTGAGGGGAGCAGAGGGCAAATGGGAGAGGTCTGCTGCGCCATGAGGGTCAGCTCCCTGGCTGGGGATAGAACTCAGTCTGCAGTGGCTTCCTAAAGCTTCGTAGTGCTGAAGTTTAACCTTTTGCACCACCAGAGAGGCCCTCAATTATATTTTAAACTGAATTTAATATTTAGGGCATATATGCTTTATAGGAAAACTATAAAAATTAAAACATCTTAAGAAAAAGTATCTCAAGGTTCCATTTGACCTCTCTAAGGATAATCATCTTATTATTTTAAATATGTTTTAAAGGGTTAGATTTAAGAATTGATTCTCTCTCCTTGAATTTCTCTTTAGCTCGGACACTACACCCCTTTTAAATGGTTCAAGCCAAGACAGAATGTTTGAGACAATGGCAATTGAGATTGAACAACTTTTGGCAAGGGTGAGTGCTTGCTGTTAAATAATTTTGCTAATTGTATACTTGTTAGATATGGCACTAGACTGTGTTAATGCAGACGTGTTTGTTGAAGACATCCTTTCATTCAAGATGTTTGCTCTCTAGACTAGGCCACTTGAATTGCTAACAGTCATTCCCATGACCTATGGGTGTTATCTTTGCTTTTGTGGATAAAATGGGAGAAACATTGAATCTTTGGCTACTGCCTTGTTTTTCTTCTGTCAGCTAAAAGGGTATACAGGCAGATAATTAGCTTTTATCTTTTTTTAGTCCTTTCTACAACATTTTATTGGTTTGCTTTTTTTTTTAATCTCTTTAGCTAACTGGAGTGAATGATAAAATGGCAGAATATACAAACAATGCCGGTGTTCCTTCTTTGAATGCAGCCCTGATGCATACATTACAGCGACATAGAGACATATTACAGGTATTAGAGATTTTTATTACTATAGTTTGTTTGCTTTTTAAATTCCTGAGCAAATGCTTAAGAGAATGAAGGGGAAACTCTGCTAAGAGGATAATTACCTTGCTAAAGAAATGTGTTTTCTTTTTTGTCCTTGGTTTTGCAAGATTCTGAATTTGTCTTGCTTTTGCCTGGTAAAATTGAATATACTCAATTATTCACTAGGTAAATATACATATACTGTGGGAAGTCTAGCTTGCTAGGCTACCATTGTGAAAAAGCTAATGATCATACATAGGTGGTAATGTTAGTAGAATGGTAATAATATGGTGATAAAGTATACAATTTCATCAGGCCTTGAAGATAATGTAGAAGTGGGGAATAAGTTTACTATATTGCTTGAAAAAATATACAAATAAAGTGAAATAAAGTCTAACGGATTTATATTTATATTAAAAATACAGTAATACAAATAGGAAGGCAAACATTTGTAATATTAAAAATTTAGTGTCCATTTCTAATTTTTAAATTCTTGTTAAAAATATGAGTAAAAGGGCCCTCCCTGGTGGCGCAGCGGGTTAAAGCACAGCACTGAGAATCTAAAGCCGCTTCCGCATGAGTTCGATTCCCGCCTGCCCCGGAGGTGACCACATGGCGTGGCAGACCTCTCCTGACCCGCCCGCTGCTCCCCTCAGCAGTGTACTTCGTCGATCTGCCTGTTCTGCTCCCCACTCTGTCTCTGGTGGAGCCTCTCGCCGCCCCTGAGCTTCTGGCCTGTACCCCAGTTCTGTATGCACAAATAAATAAATCTAAAAAAAAAAAATATGAGTAAAAGACTATTCCCAGTGCACTAAAAATTAGTGTCACACTTAATAAAATGCTAAAAGCATTCCCATTGAAGAAAAAAAACACAAAACAAAGATACCCACATGTTTAATATTACTTTAGCACTTTTTGGTGGTACAAGAGTAGAAAGAAATGATGTAAATATTGGAAAGGAAGAGGCAAAATTTGTGTTATGTGGCAGTGATAAGATTATATATAAATTTGAAAATGTATTAGAAACAAACTCACTAATATGATAGATTAATATATAAATGTATATAGTTTTCCTACATATAAGCAATAACCTATTAGATAATATTATGGTGGAAAATATAAATTTATAAAATCCTTGTGTATAAATTTATTAAGAATGTTAGACAACTCCAGTGCAGAAAGTCAGCCACACAGCGGCTCAGTTTAAACCCAGGATTAACCAGTTTGAAGTTGGAGGAGGAGGTCCATGTCCACAGGCAGGGACAGAAAGCCCTTTTTTCTGAAAATATGCCCTTAAGAGAAATCATTGTTCATTTAACAAGTAGTTGTCAATAGGAATCCCAACAGGGAAGATCATGGGGATACCCTCTTGGTCTCCCAGGATATTTCCCTACAAACAAGTAAGTAGGTGAAGATTAGGTGTAAGGTAGCAACTTCTCTTTTTAGCAGCTTGTCACATAAATGATAGTATTATTAGTCAAGGCAATGAAATACTTTCCCAACTTACTATCCAAGATAGGAGCTGACTTAGGCCTAAAGAGGGAGGTGTTTCTTTGGAGATTTCACTCAGCTCTAGAAGAGTAGTCTATTTACCTCCAGCTATTAGGGGGTATCCCTGAAATAATCCCCCTATCAAGATGTCCTTATGGAGGTGGGACCAGTTTCCTTCCAGGCCAGACCAGATCACCCTTGAGTTTCTTGTCCACCAGGAAATTGTACATGTGGGGGATACCAAAAAATATGCCATGGAGCCTTCATATCATTCAAATGTGAGAAGCATCTTCACATGTTTTGGTATTTCAGTTAGAAGCCCATTAGAGCAGACACAGTAAAGAGAGGATATTTATTTGTGCCTAGTGTCGCAAAGGGTTCTTCCAGTCATCTGCCTCACAGAGTTCATGAAGGAGAGAAACCTTTTGTGTGATGTATATATGGAAATTCCTTCTGCCACAAAACCAACATTCAGGCTCAAAAGAGAATCCACATGAGAGAGGAACCCTACTTGCATCCCTCTGCTAGAGAAGCTTGAACTGGTGATCCACTTAACCATAAATTGTCTTCAAAAAGATTTTCCTACACACACTTAGCTACAGCCCCAATCTAATGAACATAAATATGTAAGCATGTATATATTTCCATAGTAGTTTTATATTTAGCACACACTATAATTTTCTGTTACATTTTCCATTTATTATCTTACTCCACTAAATCTAAGTTTAAGGAAGGCATGTATTTCTTGGTTCAATTTTTTAAAGTATCTTAGGTGCCCAATAAATATAACTTTAATAAATGAAACAAAAATTTACTAAGTTGTATGGAATTTACATGTTTTAAGTTTCCTTACCTAGAAACATAAAAAAGATTTAAGTGGAGGAAAGAATTAAACCTTTTGAATGAGGAAACTTCTCTAAATTAACCTGAGTGCCATCCTAATGGAAATTGCAGGAGTTTTTGTTTCATTAAAAAAACAACAAAACAAAACAGGGCACAGCATGGTAAAGTGCAGCACTATGAAGCTATCAGTAGCCACTGTAGTGTGAGTTTGATTCTTTGCCAGCAGGGTCATCCACATGGTGTGGCAGACCTCTTCTGATCTGCCCACTGCTTCCCACAGCAGTGTATTTCAGTCAGTCTGCCTGTTCTGCTTCCCACTCTGTCTCATTGCGTGGCTAAAGAAAGGTTGCCACCTTGTTCTTAATCTTCACCTACTTATCTTGTTTGTAGGGAAGTATCCTGGGAGACCAAGAGGGTATCCCCATGGTCTTCCCTGTTGGGATTCCTATTGACAACTTTTTGTTAGATAAACAGTGATTTCCATGCAATGAGACAGAGTGCGAAGCAGAACAGACAATGATTCCCATGCACCTCACCTCTTGCCTGTACCCCAGTTCTTTCATTCATAAGTAATAAATCTTTAAAAAAAAAAAAATTGAGGGAGGTGCTACCCTGGAGGCCTAGGGGTTAAGCCTCAGCACTATCACTGCAATGACCTGAGTTCAATCCCTTGTCAGGGAGCCAACCCACATATGGCACAATAGATCTTTCGTATCTTGCCCACTTCTCCCCTCATTAGTGCATTTTAGTAAATCTACCTGTTCTACTCCCCATTCTCTGTCTCTGGTGAATCCTCTCGCCCCCTACACCTCTGGCCTACATCCTATTTCTGCGCCAAAAAAAAAAAAAAAGGGCAAATAACGCAGAAACGCATTTGGAACTGTAGACATATAAGAATGAGCAAAAAAAATGTGAAAATGAAGACAAATATTAAAGCCTTTTAAGAAACTAAGAGTAATTAATGTAGCTTGATTCTAGAGAAAAAGAAGACTAATAGAACAAAATCAAGTTCATATATATGTCCAAATAC